GTACTAGCATCGAGGACCAGAAAAGTGAGGTTCATTCTCGCTGCGCCTTCTAGGAATAAAAAAAACGTAAAAATTAGGTCGATGGTTCGGATACCACCGAGGACAGAATTTCGCTTTTCTATTTTTCATTTTCTGGGTCCATGATTGTCTAAATACTTTGTCTGAACAAAAACATTCACGGTAAACTGAACAATCCTATTTTTATGGAGCAAAACTGATTTTTCGTTTGAATTCAGTATTCACAAACTCAGCTCTGGGCGCTATGCTGCTGCCAGATGGCACTGGCCCCAAAAATAAATTCTAAAATCGTGATCAGGACTATCGATCACCCCTGGGAGCAAGCTTTGAACAAAAAAATTTTTGACTTTTCCGGGTTGTAGGTGACCGACCATTCGGTCAGCAATGTGAGCGGGGTCGCACATCTTCGTAACATCGATGACGTATCGATGACGCTTCGGACCCTAGACAACCAAATAAGCAAACCCAAGAAAGTCAAAGCAATTGTTTTGACCGAAAATTCGTTGTTAGGGGTAATCAGTGGCCCTGATCACTGATCATAGGGGTGTACATTCAGTGGGAGGAATATGTGGGCCCCAAGTTGGCTATAATTGACACCACACAAGAGGTTACTATATTCGCAATCACATCCACTGTCTAGCTTATGAATATCAACGTTCGGCAACAATCTGTTCAATGGTGCGTGAAAATCCAATTTCTTGAATAGCACTAGCTCATGGGGTATAGCTACTCAGAATGTGTCCATAAATGGCGAATATCCGAATTATATTCATGCGCAGACAAAATGGAAGCGAGAACAGCGAAATCTAAAAAATGCAAAAAGTCGCAACTGAAGGGGAGTCGAACAATCAGTCCCACCCTGACTGTCCTTTTGCGAATCCCCCACTCTACCCGCTAGGCCATCCGATCGTTGACGCTGCGTACCGCTTTAATCGTTGAAGAAACCATTGCAAGGAGCCGTTCACGCTTAGCACGTGACCCAAGTTGGAAGCTCATTTGCGACGATTTTTCGCTTCGATTCAAATAGTCCCCTTGTAGGGAGCCTTTAAGCGACCATGAGCTTGTGATTGTGTGTCAGTGTCCTCAATATACCATCGCGGTGTTTGTCTTGAAGACGTAACACTCTTTCCAGAACGTTTCAGAAAAGCAAGACATGTATCGCAGAGGGATCTAAGAAAAGGAGCAGTGCATTAGTGCGGCCCAACTGAATTCTGTTGTCACGGTGGTCCACCGATACGCGGTGGAGCACCCCCGGTCGCGCGATCCAGTCGAGCAATCCGATCGCAAGTATGAAAGAGCTCGTATTCCATAACTTCTGCTTCCATGGCTTTTTTTGCCTTTTGCTTTTTTTTGCTTTTCGCAGATTCACACATACAAACTGACTGGAAAGGGCTGGACATTGATGGATGTCAGACTCCGCCCACTTTCCGAAGAGTTTGTAGCAAAATTCGAATTGTTATAGGTTTCACATAACTTCCACGTAACTTCGAAGAAGCCCAGCGCACATCTCGACAATGGTGCGAATCGAGTCAAAGTGGGCGTGGCCGGGGAGAGGAGCCTAAACTGCCAGTGCACAGATGCACGTCCACGAGTGCCTTTGTTGCGTGGAAGTGAAAACAACGACGCCGAAAAAAAGCCATGAACGTCGAAGTTTGCAACAAATTCCTTGAAAATGGGCGAAGTTGCTCATGTGGAGATGTACAGTCTTTTTCAGCCAATGTGTAAGTGCAAAAAGTCGCAAATGCAAAAGCTGTAAACTAGGTCGAAGAATTACAACCACGCTGAAATGTGGGCGTGGCTGTAGGCAGGGCACGCCATTGCGTTGTAATCATTTCCTGAAAAATACGACCCCCCCCTAATTCCATCTTCAAGTACGACCCCCCTCCCCAGGTTACCTCTTCCCTAGATTTTTCCAACCTCCTACTACTTTGTCTATTTTTTCCCAAACAGTTTCTGGTTTTTTAACAAAATTTTGCTGTCGAGCGGGGGGGGGGTCGCAGTACCTACGTACATCGCAAAGCACGTCCAGCACTCTGGCGCTGGTGTAGCATACTGACAATACGTACGAGGAAGGGGCGATGATAGGAGCTACGATCACCGCCCACAAGGGCCCCATGAATTTATAAACAAACAAGAGGACTCACGACGTGACGATTAATAAACAGATGAAAGTACATTCCCGGACTTTTCTGATCGTAGGAGCACATTTGCTTGCATTTGGGGAACCCTATCTAGAAGTTACACCTGTCAAACACCTGCGTGAAGACCCCATGCATGGCGCATTGCATATGTGATGCCAATTGGCGCCCAATGGCCTATTACCTGATATGCTTGACGAAAAACATGTGTTTTAGAAGCATACCAAAGTCTTCGAGCAACTGGAGGTTTCCTGGCCTCGGAGGGGTTGATTTTTCGGTGTCGTGGGGTGATTACAAAATGATCACAACGGGGATTTTTTCGAATAGTAGGTCTAGGAAGGAAATTGAAACCTTGCTGGTGAAATAGAAATCTTCAAGCTTCCGGCACAGTTCTTTTTTTACGAAGGTCGTGTATGAAGCTTGCCATGGACGTCCAAAGCGTAGCGACTCGCGGTTTGCAAAAAATGATCACAGATGGATCACAAAGATGATCAAACGGGGAAAATCTCTGGGACCCAGAACGGTTTTTGAAATCGCTCAATTCAGGTGATAAGAGCCAACCTAGCTCTACTCATTCCGACTTACCCCTCTCCGATAGCTTCACTTTCAACGAAGTATGGGTGTTCAAATGAGGGGCACTTTTCACGTGTTTGGCTTGAAATTGGCTCCAAACCGTAAAATAGCGCGCACCAATGCGCTTGTATGAGCGGCTGGCCGCGAACAGCCAAAATTCAAAAGTAACCCATAGTTCCGGTTCCAGCTGAGCGGTGAGTTTTTTTCTTATCCTTTTTATTGTGAATTACTTCGTTTGTTTTTTTGATTCGATATTGTTTTGTGGAGTTTGTTTGTTGTAAGGAAATTGCTCAGGATTCAATTTCTACGGTTTCATAGGTAGCTTTGCAGTAGATTTCTTTTCTAGATTTTGCGGATTAGTGGATTGGGATTTACCCAGACCAGATGGGGAGGGTTGGTGGCGAAGTGTCTTGAAGTTTTTTTGTGAGGAAGGAGGAAAAAGTTTCAGCAATATATTTTTTTTAGTTTTTGGCCTAGGAATAGTTCGATAGTGCATAGTTCTATTTATTGTCATCTACATCGTCCCTTTTGAGCTTCTTTTTACTTGTACCGTGTATCACCCGCTCTCTCCACTTCAACATGGCTCATCGTTTACGACCCCCCCCTAATTCCATCTTCAAATACGACCCCCCTGTTGTGATGATCACAAAGATGGCGTGCCCTGGCTGTAGGGGCGAGGCTTACAACAGGGTCTAGCAATTGCATGGGTAACTAAGTCTGAGATCTGCTCTAAAAAGGCGTGAATTTGATTTGAAAACTTGTGAATTAGGTCCAAGTCGTGAATATGTTTGAAAAGTCGTGAATTTGGTTTGGAAAATTGAGAATTTGAAGTGAAATTGGTATAAAGGCGCCCGCTCTTCCTTGGGTTTGGTTACGATGTCAGTTTCACAGTAACATCTTTGCGTCACCATCTTCTATTAGTAGCACCGCGGCACTGGAGCGACGGCAGCTGTCCACAACATCAGCGGTTCATTGGAAGACATCTCTTTCATTAGGACTGTCCACCACTGGTTCGCTCGATTCGCAGAAGGAGACACGATCTTCGAAGACAAGCTACGATCGGGACACCCCCATGAAGTGGAAGACTCCACGAAGCCGTCAAAGAGGATCTGGAGGTTACCACCTCCTGTCTTGTGACAAGACTCGGATGCAGCTAGCTGAGAGTCGTCAACCGCCTGCGCCGTTGGCTATCGAAGAGTACTGCCTCGATAGACCACTCACACCTTGATGGACCTTGACACATGGTGCAATCGGGACTAACGGTCAGTACCCTCTTCTCCTCTCTCGTCAAAACGAGTTCCTAATAGACCGGCAAGTGAAGATGAGAGATGGGTCCTCTATGATTCCAATTAACAGAGTGCCCTGTGAATATCTCAAGAAGAATGCTCATCTCAGCAAGCTAAACAGGACATGCATTCCAAGACGGTGCTCCCGTGCTGCTTCCGGGACGCGAAGGAAATGCTGCACAACGAGCTGCCCCTTTAATAGCATTCACAGCTACTATTTATGCCGCTCGGTCCCAGATTCCCGTGGAAAGTGTAGGAAAAATGATCGAGACTGGCTTTGGGGCACCTCATTCATATTGACGCGATACCCCGGACTGCTGTGGACACCTATCAAACAGTTGAGGAGTAAGGCTAGGAGACCCTGCCGATCATATCTCCTGACATAGTCCCCTGCGACTGCTACCTGTTCCTCTCCCTTACAGGTCGCCGATATGTTGGACTCGCAGCTTCCTCACTTCTGGGAGAAGGAGATCGCTGACCTGCCCATTAGGTAGAGCAAGAGAAAAATGACCGAGACTAGCTTTGGGGCTCGCTCGTGTTGAGGCGAGACCCCATACTGCTATGAAGACCTACCAAAAAGTTTTGGAGAAAAGCTGAGAGACCGTACCGCGCTTACCTACTCCTGACACAGGTCCCTACGGTTACTACTGGTCGGCTTCTTAGGCTATTTAAACTCAGAAACTTTTCAACAAGTTTGATGACATCAGTCGATTCGAAAATGGTCAAAATTTCACAGATAATGCAAAAAGGGAGGGGGGGGGGCAGATCTTGATATTGTGTGCGAATTGGTGTGCAAATAGAAACGCAGTTTGTTCATACACAACCTAATGCGTAAAACCAATCCTGTAGTCCTGCAAGAGGATATGTGCTCTGTCCGCTTGTCTGTTGCTAAGCAATGAAATCGGCAACTTGGGTTACACTGTGTGCACTTCTTTTTTGCAAGAGATCTGCGGTATCAGAATCATTGAGAGTGGGACTATAAGTCATGAGACTCCGTGTAAACTCCAGAAAGTTGAGGTAAACTCAAAGAACTTACGCGTCCTTCGACCCAGCAGTTTGTCCTAGAATCGAACCGCTAAAACCCTCAGTGTTTTCTAATGCAGGTGGATATGCAACGGCTTCATCCGGTGTAGGAACTGTGGATGAATGCGGATTGCAATTTCTGATGGCAATGAAACAGTATGAGTACCTCCTTCTCTGCTTGCCGATTAATCAGAGAATGGAGCTGAAGGTATGTTCGCTTGGCTTAGCAGCCGATTTGATAAATTTGTTCTATATTCAGATGAATGGGCTCTCTTCATCTGTTATTATATGGGCCCAGCATTCAGAAACGGAAGCTGAGTTATTAAATGCAGTTCCCAGCCTACAGAAAGCAAACCCTACATGGGACGAACTAAGAAATCTGGGTATCGCTTGGTGGTTGAAGGATTCCGCAAGCTTGAAGACGTGTTTGGAGAAGGTGCTTTCGAAATTGTTGACATTCGAATGTTGTTTTTTTTTATGTGAACACATCAACCGCCATCAGTCTTTCATAGTTAGGAGCGGAAGATTCAAACAATAGTTACCTCATGGAACACTACCTTTTCCTATATAAACCAGAAGTTGTCTATCTGTGAGTCTGTGTGTCTGCTCGTAAATTGAGGTCACGTGAGAAATCGGGTCGGGGCCGGCATTCACAGAGCCCGCACAGATAATGCGTACAACGGTGTGCATCTTATTGCAGTTGTTCGAATGACCTGTTGACCTTCCCTGGTAGAAGCAATGAATTTAACCACAACAATAGGTTGTCCATTCCATTATAAGGATGATCTGCTGAATTTTGACCACAGCATCCAGAAGGCTAACACCGGAATAACTTTTAACCATTCATGACTGTGTGTGGAATGCTGTGCTGAGAAACAGAAGATTTCATCATCTTCCTGCAAATTCAAGAGATATGCCTTTGTACTGAAAAAATTCACATGGACTGGAACTGAGGAATTTGTGGTTAGTCTTATATTTTTTGGACCTTTGATTGCTTGATTTTCAGAAAAAAAGGCACAATGGGTCCCCTACAGGGGGTGGGGATCGTATCGACTCGTTCACAATGTCGAATTCTGCAAAGGAACTGCTTGTGAGGAAGTCTCATGCGCTATCTATGGCTAGTTTCGAAGGAACTTTTCGCAAAGGGCATCGGTAACGGCGCGCCACACAGAACAGCTTCACCTCATCTACTTATTTTACTTGCAACTTATGAATCATCATCTGGCTTCATGGTTTGATTTACGTTCGTTGTTTTATAAAACCGTACTGCTGGGAAGATTCGAGAGGAAAAAGTAGTGGCCTTCGGCACTTGAAACAAAAGGTCAAAAACACACGCACTCAAAAGTTATGGACTAGTTACAGGGAGGCGAAATATGGAGCGTTTGTAAACGACCGATTAAAACTTGATAAAAAGTAGAATACAACTCACTGCTATGGTGATCCTTATAACTTCGTGTGAACCTCCTAATAGATTACATGGGTAAAAATGTGGCAAGGTAAAACAATATGGTAGCAGTACAGAACAGAAGAGAAAAATAGTTGGTCGAAGGAGAGATTCGAGACAGCTCAAAGTCAGTATACCCAAAAGACCTTGCAAACAATGTGTGGAGATTTCGCTACTAAGCACACTGGTGTTCGGAAATTTATTTTGGACCCCTTCTGGCTTTTCAAATTTATTTATGTGAAAATGTTGACCAGCAAAGGTACCTACTTTGTTCACAAAACCACCCCACCCAGCGTTTTGATGTACTTTAATCCTTTTGCATTCAGCACAGGATGAAGCTTATGTGAGAACAGAAAAGTTTGTAGCTATGGTCAAACAAATTCTCAACGCAGACGCCTCGTTTTGGCTGGCTGGAAACTGGGGTCGTAATTGGAGGAGTCAGTAGTTGACAAAGCTGTGACAACCAGGGCACATCAGCGTTGGGGATTCCTCAAGGGGGGGGGTATTTGGTCGCTGGGAGAGGGGGCCGTACTTGGTCTGAGAAAAAAATTTTTTGAAAGTTGATTTTTCTTGTTTCAGGGAAGCCATAAAGGGAGGAGGGTCGTATATTGGGAGAGGGGGAGTCGTGTATGCCTTCTGGTCTCCTGAGTAAAGCTGTTGATTTTCCATGATCTTCCTGTTTCATTTGTACTGTAAATCTACCATCCAATCGAAAGCGAATTTTTTTGGGGAAATTTACGAAAACTTTGGGAAAAATCTGGAAAAGCTGGTGGGAGCCTGGGGAAATCTAAGAAACTAGGAAGATGGTAGCTGGAATAGGAGCACGGTGACGGGAAAAGAGATCGTATTTTCCTCATGGTTTTCCACATTTTACATGTGCTACATACCCAATAGAGTCAAATCTACCTTCAAAAACTACAAACCTCCTCTCTGAATGGAGAAGTGGAGAGTTTTCTCCCTGCGTAGCTGTTTTACATGTTATCGCGAAGAAACGCGGACGTCGTTACATGGGTTATGCTGATACGTTTAGTAGAGCGTGAGTGGTGGCGAGCGAGTGTCGTAGGCAAAAGTCCGTATAGTCGATCCCCGTGAGCTTGTCTTTTTTGCATTTTCCATGACCATGGCCGAAAAAGTTTCTAACGTCTTTGCCGACCGGCATTTGCCATTTGAGAGAATTTGCGATAAGTTTTTCTGGAAGTGTAGACCTATTGTGACCTGAGAGACTGTTGTGCTTGTCCCCTACGTAACACATGTGACAAGGCCTTCAGAAGAACATAACTTTGTTCAACTATAACTCCCGAACAGGGGTGAAAACTAATAGCAACTACGAGATTCGTTCGTCCCAATTTTTTATACTACTGTTACAATCTACTTCCATCTGTAAACTATAAGGCTGTATAAAAAGGTCCCCTGGTTTTCCGGTCCACATATGAACAAGCATTTTTTAGTTGAAGGTCAATTTCAATTTCGACCAATGTTATCTGTGACCTTTTGCCATTTATGTAGTGAATTCATGATACCATTGGTGTAAAACTCCTGCGTTTCATTGGCCGTTTTCAGCGGCGCTTTGACCGGCCAATTTGTTATCATCAAGGGTGTTTTGCAGAGATCGAAACAGGTGCAAGGTTCGAGCGGTAAGGTGGATGCACCAAACTTTCCGACCGTCTTTTTTCGAATTGTTCAGAGTCATCAAAGATTTGTGTGCTCGCGCATTGTCGTGACGAAATACAACTCTCTCTCTGTTGGCCTATTCTGTTCCTTTTTCTCTGATTGCTTCCTTCAGATAGTCCAGTTGTGCACAGTACATGACCGAATTAATAGTTGTTGTTGTTGTTGTTGTTGTTGTTGTTGTTGTTCCACTCCTCTACAGGATTACAAAAGCCAACTATTTCATTGAGAGCTAGTTGTAAGCACCAATATCATCAAATAATCACGTACAATCCTATCACTCAAGGCACTAGGTAGAAAGATCCTCCAGATGTAACGGGCCACAACCAGGACACAACACCGACTCCCCCTGAGGGGGCTGTTCCCTCTTTTTTATACCTGGGTGTAGCTCCGTTGTAATATCATGACAGACGTCACGACACTCCGGCCGTGTCAGAAGGTGCACTGCTACAAGATTTGCGATTACGGAGGCTTCATGTCTGACCGATGGAGGACGGTGGTACCGCACCAAGTTCAGAGTGCTGCCCTACGCTTTCTATCTTGCCAAGAGAGCGGCACTCTAGCCGACTCTTACAAGTAGCTCAAGTCCGATTACGTTGTTTGACGGTGTGGGCAGTGCTCCCTCCGCCCGACCGCAAGCAGTGAGGTATACGTAGGCGAGAAGGGCCTCAGTAGTCCCACAAATCAACCGAGGAGAAAAAAAACATCATGGAAGGCGAATCGACCACACCAAAAAAAATTGACAAAAAAAATGACGAAGTAATTCGATTGAATACATTCGAAAATCCCGTCAAAAACAAACATAATCTGTCAACTGGGGGAATACGTAAGGGCATAGAAGGGAAACATGATCATTCACTTGATTTGTGCGCTGGTTGTGCACACAGTAACAGCAAGGGACTCTATGGCACATGAAATCGTGGCCAGCTTCTGCTTTTGCTTAGAAACAACGAAAGATAGCGAGAGTTCAAGCATGCGGCTACTGCGTTTGCTGAGTGTGGGGGCAGAACGTCGCAGTTGGTTGCGTATTGATGCGAACTTGAATTACATCGAAATTTGCACTTTTCTCTTCCAACCCAGCTTGTCTCTAAGAAAAGGAAAAAGTGGTGTCTGAGTCAGCTTTCATCAGTAATGGGCGGAACAATATCGAACGAGGCGGTGCAGTACTCTATATATAGTACCGATAAGCCGCAGTATAAGCTGGAATACCAAGGCCAGAAATATCATTGAAGTCGGTATTAAACAGGGCAAAGTCAAGCTTATCGATATGATCCTTGAGCAACTGGAGTGCCTAATATTTGGAGAAGAAGAGTGAAACAGCGAAATAATCAAACATAGTATAACTGGGAGTAGAGGAATTATGTTCTTATTACGTCCCATAAGTGGAAAATATTCGGCAATGTGAATTCGGATTCGTTGTCCGGTGTGGATCCGATTTGTAAGACTTTGAAAAACAAAGGCAATTGGGCAAGTGACTTGGTAAACTTCAACAAACCTGTAAGTTCTAAGACTACTATGGTACTTCCGCAATTAGCTGTGCATTTTTCTTTTATGTTGGCGTGCGTGAAGGAGAACCGTACTTTTCAGAGCGCATGGAATTGCGAAACTGTGTGAGTTGCAATCCACCTGTGCTAACGCACTATCTACACTCGACTGGCAGCTGAAGGTCGCTACTGCCCCCTTAAGGCATCCGTAACAGCCGTTAAGGAGAGAAACTGATATTGCGCATGTTAATTATCCACTATGTTCCGAGTGCGTGGTTTTGTAATATTGAAAGAAAGAGAAATTTCTAAAGACCCTCACGAACAGTCCTAATGACCTGGGGTAATTGTTGTTTTCAGCTTACTTTTATAACAGAATTGGGGAAGGTAAGGAGCAAAATGCTATTCAGAGTGTAGAGATCAACGGGATTTTTATCTACAGGGGGGCCAAAAAAGTCACTTCGACCGAGTCACATATCAGCAAAGTTTTCACTGCCCAGACAGAGGACGTGGATACGGGTACCTGGGGAGAAGATACCCAAGATGTTCCTTGATAAGCAGGAGCTGGCTCTCACCCATCACCTTCACGTACACCAAAATATGAAGTCATCTCCAGTCGCAGCCTGACTGGAGAAGACCTTTGGAATACATGTCACCTCCAAACAGCTGCGAAACTTCTAGTATGGAGTCACCCATGGATAGCCACCTGGGGACCAGTGCTCTCGTTCTGGATGACCTCCAACATCGAGCAGCTCCGACAACGTCGCCACGGTCCAGGACATCATCTTCACCACAGTCGCCAAGGCGCGGGTTGAAGGTATGGACCGGACGCACCCGATCAATATCTACTTCTTTGACTCCGGGCTGAAGATGAGCGCTGGCGATTACATCGAGCAACTTGTGAAGAATATCCTGCTCACATGTCGTCGCCCGTACCTTCTTGAA